AAGTGTTCATGCATGTAAAGGAACTCCTTTAGAAACATAGATACACTGCCCTCTTTTACAGGTAATGAACAAGCAGAAACTTCAAGAATAACAATTCCACAGCTGCATACTCAGGAACAGTGATTTACCAGGAGTAAATATATTAAAAAAAAAGAGGGGGCTTGTTCTAAAAGCTAAGAACAGTAGGCATGTGTGATGTGGATAGCAAAGATAACACAAGTGTACTCCGTGTTATTTAATCTAAAATAACTACCACCCACTGGCTCTACAGCTACAGTAATTAATACAAATACCAGAAGCACACATTGAAAGGTGTGAGGTGGGAAATCCATTCATTTACCACAGCATAAAGACTCTGATCAAGAATATTAATAAATGGTTAAAGGGGTACCTAAACTAAACACAATGATCCTGAATAAATCCTCTTACAAGTCTGTTTTTTTAAAATACCTGAACTATCGCTAGCAGTTAAAGACCAGAAAATTACAGTTTATTGCATATCTCCTTTTCCCCTTCTCTTCATTTACCAACAATAGGCGCAACGGGGCTGTAAAAAAACGTGTGTATCACAGAAATTATTCCGAAGGTACTGGGGAGGGATATTATGGATGAGGGACACAGGGGGCGGGAAATAAAAAGGGTTAAATGCTGCAATCTCACAAGCACTTTTGGGAGAGCAAACCCGATTTAAAAAAAGCCAGATTTACTTATGAGTAAACATGCACAAGTTCGGGCTGCAAGCTTACTTCTCCCCGAGCTACTCGCTGTTTTTACCGCGATCCTCCCTCCCTCCCTCCCTCTGGCTTCATCTCCTCCTTACCCACGGCAGTGCCCACTCTGATCTCCCTCACAGAAAAGTACAGAGAAGTACAAGCGCAACCCCAGCACAACCACTACACCCCGCCTGGCCTGAAGGAACTGCAGCTTCCTCTCCCTTCCACTCCGCCGGTCTCTTCACAGCATCGGTAACCGTAGCAACCTCAGTTCGCGCCGCCATTGGCTGATTTAATACGAGCCAAGGGCCAATGGAAACGCCTCTTGAGGCACGCTCAGCCATTCGGGGCGAAGCACAGGGCTGGGCGCCTTGTTGACGTCTAAGGAGGAGAAAGGAGGGGGGAGCAAGGGGCGGGAAGAAGCGAGCGGAGAGCCTGCGAGGGAGGAGGTGGAGGAGAATTTTGTGCTGCTCGGCGGTGGCACATTAGCACCATTACCATGGACACTCCGGGGTAGGGCCCTTCTCGGCGGGGCGGCTGCGGCCCCTCCGCGCACACGGAGACCCAGCGCAGGCGGGGCGCCCCCCCTCCGTCTACGCGGTGAGTGAAGCTTTCTCAGCCTCTCTTAGGGAACGGGTAGCACGGCACTAACGCTGCGGAGGGCGAAGGAGAAGGGGAACGCCGAAAGGGGCAGCGTGCCGGAGCTGTTCCTGAGAAGAAGGGAGCAAGGTGGCCTTTTTTGGTGGGGCCTCTCTGAAATCTTCAGCTCTCTTGCGCCCATCCTGCCTACCTCCTCTGCTTTTTCTCCAAAACTCTGGAATACTCCTCTCCTTCGCCTCTTCCCTACCACTACTCCTCGCGTACCTGCTTCCTCTGAGCCTGCTAATCCCAATTCTCGTCCCGTTAAGCAATTTTTTTTTTTACGCCCCGTCCTGTCCAGCCCCCCCCCCCCTTTAAAATGCGTTTTGCTCCATTAATAGTGTCTCCCCGGTAAATGTTTCCTCAGCTTCATTTGACCATCGCCACCCTCTGTACTTACGCTGCCTATCCCTTCCTACCTCGCTTATTCAGCCCCTCGTGTCCTTAACAACCGTGCTGTATAGCTTGTTTCCTTTACTTAACCTCTTCGCGCGCTTCCATCCTTAAATGTACCCTTTAAGTAACCTTTTCCGTTGCTTTTCATCTTTTTTCACCAAATACGTTTGCCTTGCTTGCCTTTCCAACCTAAAGCATTAGTCTTTTAACTATTCTTTCTGCCTTTCCGTGATTTTTCCCATTAGTTTTCCTCTTTTTTGTAACTGGACTCCACCTAAATACTCCTCCTTTTTCATGTAACAACTTCCCTTATGCAAATTTCTCCCTCTGTCAGTTGTCTCCTTTGCCCTTCCTTGCATAGTTTGTCTTCTTGTGCTTAAATATCTACCTTTTAATATAGTTGCTCCACTAAAATTTCCCAGAAAATGTTCTCCCTGCAAATGTGTTTTCCCACTTTTCCTGAAATGTATATACCCCTCAGTCACTCAAAAACCCCCTCTCCCTTAAAAATTGCAGTATTTAAAAATACTAATGTCCCCTGAAAACCACTCTCCCTAGAGATCCATATTCCCTCTTCTTAACCTTCGTGCTTCTCCTCTTTGGAAGCCTTGCCTGATGTCCTTCACCCCATCAACATTTTCTAAAATGAATTACTTCCCTTTTTAGTTTCAGCCTCCTCTAGGAATGAATATCCTCTGATTTCTTTAAAGCTTTCCTATTGTTGAGCCTTCTAACTGATACTGCATTTTTCCTTTCTGCACTCTCGAGCCCCAGGAAAATCATACTCCCTGACTGTCAGTATAAGCCCCTTCAATCCTCTCCCCTGCCTTTGCATGTCTCTTAAACCTTTACAGTTCCATGCCCCTTCCGTCATCTCTGCTTCACCATGTTGTAATTGTCGAAATTTCTTCCTGCTTCTTCAACCTCTTCCTTAAAAAGAGGGAGGAACCCCCTCCCCTGTTTCTTGTTTCCCTGGTGAACTGGCTGCCCCCCTGCCAGCTCTCTAAATCCTTCTCTCTCAACCTGCAGAGTCTCCCCTCACTCGACTTCGCCCCCATCTTGTATTTTCTCCCATTTGCTTGTTAGAGCCACTTGCAACCAGGCTGCTGGAGCGAATCCTCAGAGAGTCTGTAGCATGCTCTCTTTGCCCTGGGTTTCCTCAGTGGCAGACCTACAACTACAGTTCCTCTGCAGTCACCCTGTAGGGAAAAGACAGAGGGAGGGGGCAGCAGCAGCAGTGACTGTTTGGTTTTGGCTGCATGTTCAAGGAGTGCGACAGACGGCAGTGTGTGTGGACGGAAGCTGTTGGCGCTCTGGGCGAATGAGAAGGCAGGTGTGTGTCTGTGTGTGGGAGGGGGACACATTGTTTGTTCCTGGAGCTTTTAGATAGTGCAGGAATGTGAGGAATGCCTTGGAAGCTCGCTGCAACAGATCTTTTTGCCCAGCTTTCTAACAGCCAAAGGTCACTGGACCATCTATCCGGCAGCAAGCCTCTGCGCTGCAGAGAGAGTGTGGGAACAGTATCTGTGCTGTGACATGGCATTACATAGGATTGGGTTAGATTCCAGTTGCATTGCTTTCCTCAAAGACTGGTTTGAAGGCCCCGGTGATGATGACTGGTCTGGCCTATCCCTGTTGAGTAATGCTAAGGTCTGATTACCTCCTTCCTTTCCAGTATTTAGGGGGATTGTGCCAAGTTGTTATTCAGGCATCATCCAGGTTAGAGCTTTAACATTTTGCTAGATATTTTAAAGCTGAGCTATGGAAGCTGATAGCTAAGAAAGCTTTGACAAATATGGCAAAAAGAAGGACTAGGGGAAAACATGTTAAATCCATACGTCATTAAGGAGTGTTGTACAATGTATATTTTATTAAATACTGTACTCAGGAGCATAAGCTGGAGATGTCTTTAAATAGTGCTTTTGTGGAATGTTAGAAAGTGAGCTGCTTATCAATACTGAACTGCATGTACACCCATATAATGCCCATCAGATTAAAGAACAGAGAAGCAGTGTTTTAGCAGAGATGGGGCAGAGAGAACTGTCTGGTACCATTAAACTGCTGGGTGTGTCAAACAACAGAGACATGCAGTAGGACACAACAATTGTCAACAAGTCTTTCCTAAGATTTATGTCTAGTAGTAACATCTATTAGGTCTATTCATCTATTCAATCTGCTAAAGCCTCTTTACTTGATATTTGTGAGGAGGAGATTGGGCCAAGGGGTGGGCTGGTAGAAATAAAACATGTCAGAAAGTTTGCAGTAGAATAGTTCAGCTGTAGGTAAAAGGGAAATAATGTGCATGTCTGAACATGATCTAAAAGTAGTTGTTTTCTGGGGGGGTTTTCCTTACTGTCAGATGAAAGAAAATAATTACAGTCCTTAGGTAAGAAGAAATTGTAGCAGTAGCTGCCAGAGCAAGTCCCAGAGCATATCACAAAAACTGCTGTTCTGACATGTTTGGGGTAGTTCTTGAAAATAGGACATAGTGGTTTGGCTATTACATCTAATTGAAAGGTACCAGCTCATAAGTATTTTAGAAATTATAATATACTCTGCATCAAAACAGGTATTGCTGATAGTCTGATGAAGTGTTTACATTTCAGAGCTTTGAGAGGGTCTGCAGTCTTGTGTACTGAATACTATTTTATTTGCACGTGCATATAAACAGGCTATGCAGTTTTATGAACACTTTGGAATGTTTCCTGTGCTCAATACAGAGTGATAGTGGGGACAGAACAATGTGTTCTATTCAAATAATATCCCTGGGTGACTCTTATACATGTAATGTTTTATTACTGGTGCAATAGCATTATATCTCTGATTGCATGTATTAACACATTTAGATGGATGGTTGTAATGGTTATATATAATTGGGAAGCAGTGATTTGGCAGACAGCATATTCTTCCTGTATGAGTAAAGGATGCTGAGTAAAAAAATGCATTTGAATATTGGTGCAAGGAACCTGAAACAATAAGGTTTTTTGGTACTGCAGTGGTTTTTGTCAAAACCTTTTCTAAGTACGTGTATGTGTATCCCTAATGCACTTCCTTTCCCAAGTTATCTTAGCTGATCTGTAGTCTGAACTTTCTATACCCATTCTCTGACAATGCTTTAATAATTCCAGAGCCAGCAAAGCCCAGGCATGCATCTGCATCTACCTCAAGAATTCTCAAGCTTCACTGTATATCACCAGCTATTCCCATGAGCTAATTGATGTAGCCTTAAATTTTCTTCCAGCTCGGTGTTTGGATGCTCAGGTTTCAGCAGTATCCAACAGTGTGTTTGTGCAGCTGATGCTAGTGAACCACCCATGTCTGGTCCCTGAGATGTCTGATCTGGACTACTGTGATGCACAGTATATGGAGCTGGCTTTGAAAACTTGGACAACATCAGCTCATTCTGAATGCTGTGGCTGTATTGCTGACTGGGACCCTTACAAAGGAACACATGTCTCCCTTGTTACAGCAACTTCACTGGGTGCCAGGCTTTTTCCAGGCACAATTCGGAGACTTGGTTATGACATGTAATGCACTTGGGACCAGGCTACCTGAAAGATCATCTTATGCGTAAGCCTTCCAGGGACTGAAGATATTAAAGAGAGGCCCTTCTTTTGGTACTACCATCTTCAGTGGTGCATTTGGTGCTGATGCAAGAGAGGGTCATCTCAGTGGCTGCAAGGGAGGCCGAGTTTGCTGCCTCTTTGCTTTTTTGCTGCCAGGCAAATCTGTTTTTAATCAATCAGGCCTTTGGTATGTAAGTCCACTTGTTGGTTTGGGGGCTGCTTTTATTTCTTGTTTTTTCTTGTGTTTTAATGTATTTGTTTTATTACTGTTACTAGTTTTTATCATATTTTAAAAACTTTTAAAAAGCTGCTGCTTGCCATTTCCTTTGTAGGGAAAAAAAATAAAATAGCTTTACCTTTGTCTTGATGCTCTTTCTGATGTCACCATATCCTGCCCAATTAAAAAGAATTTGATGTTGCATTTTAAGTGGCAGTTTCTCTTTTTTGTTTAGGTAGTGTTTCAGGTAGTAAAGTGAATTCTTGGTCTTTACTACGTATATGAAATATAAAGTAGTGTTCCTCAATGCTTGAGGAAAATGATCTTCAAAAAAGATTTGTAAGAACAATGTGAAGTTTTCTGTACTGAAAGTTAAAACACTTTTGCAGGGAATAGTTCTATTAATCTGTGGTATGACAATCCATTATTTTATTCTCTATTATTGTAGCAAGTCTAAAGCAAACTTGACAGTGATCACAACAGTTTGTTGGTATCAAATTTTATTGTTTAAACCCAATGTCTATTACAATATAAATCACTAAACAAAAATATAATTTACCTCAAAAATGGTGTTTTTTCCTGTCAGGATATCCTTTTGGCATATGCTGAATGCACTTAAACCAGCTATTCAGTTACATGGCAGGAGAGCTCTGAGGTACCCAGTGGAAAGGGAACTTGGAGAAGACAGTATTTTGTCCTTTCCAAGTGACCGATCTCCCTTTTATCTGCTCTGTCAGTATTATAGCAGCTTTAGAAGGCGGTGTTACCTGTACTGTATTCATTGAGATCATGTACTGAAACCACTTATTAACATTCTTAAAAAAATTATACTTTTTCCCTTTCTGTGCAGACAAGTGATTTAACTGGCAGTTTAATAACATTTTACTAGCTGGTCCTAGTAAGGGCAAGGATTCTTATCTGCAGAATCTTAATCTTATTTTGTGACTGTAAGAAGAAATAAAGCAAATGTGGATAGCTACGTTAAGATTTAATAATATCATTGTAGACTTGCTGCTCAAAACTAGTGTTGTATGTTGACACAGCTGTTTCTTAAAGGCTATGGTTTACAAGTTCACTTTATGCACTAGGAAGCAGACTGGAATAACTTTTGGAGAAGAATTGTGCTATGACTAGTAAATTCATATAGTTAGTGGCAGTAAAAAAGCCAGTTGGTGGGCACATGATACTTTGATCTACCTGTTAGAACTTGGTAAAGAGGATTGTACAATGCAAGCCCAAGAGCTAACTGCACCTTCTGCCTGGGGACTCCTAAATACCCATTTTAGGCCTTTCTGGCATCATTGTGGAACATACTATTTACCAAAAAATGGCAGCAGGGATGAAAGAACCCTAGCATTGTTCCCCTCCTGCCTGATTCCAAGAACATCAAGTGGAGTTCATGCCAGTCCTTCAATCCTCTTGCAGCCAGCACCACAATTCATTGCCTGCCTGTGTCTATTTTCCTGGTATGGCCTGCCTGGAGAGCAAAAGCCATGTTGTGTGCTGTTACTTCAGAACTCAATGATAAATGGAAATGGGAGGTGGAGGGAAAAGACAGAAGCAGGGGAAAAATAAGATGGGAAAAATGAGGAGGTAAGCAGAAAGAACATAATAGGTGGGTTGCAGGATAATCTGTAACGGTGCAGAGAGAAACGTAGGGACATAGATCTGTAATATGAGGAATGAAAGGGAAAGAATAAGTGAGAGATTGAAGGGAGATAACGATGTGGAATGGGGAAATGGCTATAAGGTGTTAGGCAGAGAGAAGAGTAAGAAGACATGAAGTTGTAGAGGAAACTGTAGGTTGGGGAAACGAAAAACCAGGGAGTATCTAAGACGGAGATACAGTGATCAGTGAATAAGACCTACATTTTAGGGTTCTAGAGGTCGTCAGTTAGGATTTCTGTGCTCTATGTCTTAATTACTTAAGTTGATTATGTTTTAAAAACCTTTTTCAAAGTTGTAGTGAAATTTTGGTTTATTCGTATTTTATATTATATTTGACTGCATTTTCTGAGCTGTTGTAAACCACTCAAAAAGGTTTGAGTGGTTTGAGTGATATAGAAATAAAATACCTAAAATGTTGGGGTGTGGTTTGAGGTAGATTAAAGTTATTAATAGTATAGATTCAAATTCTCAGTTTCTGGATGTTGGTCCTTGGTAGGGCAATTAAAATGTAGGCTTCTGAAACACTGAAAAAGCCACCCATTGATTTGTGCTCCTGAACTGCATGAGAGCTAAATATTATTAATCACATCATTTGAGGCCCTACATCTTCTAGAAAAGTGAGGCTTGTGGGCACCTATAAAGGAAGTCCTCAGGTTGATTAGGCTAGCCTTCTCCTTTCAGGAACTGATGGAAGCAATATTGTCCTTCTAAGCTTTTTATGGTTAATGCCAGTTGTTGTTGTTGTTAATCCTTGTTTTTAAAATGTGTTGGGGGTTTTGTATTTTTAATGTACTTTAATCTTTAGATTTTTATGGCACATCACTTTAAGTATCCATTGAGAGGAGGGATGATCTAGAAATACTCCAAAAAATAATTTCCTCCTTGGTAGACTACTCAATTGACTTTGTGCTACTATTTTTTCCAGATATTTGTAGGTCTTCAGTGTATGTTTAGTTTGCTGCTTAGCAAATCTCACGCTGCTGTGGATAGAGTAACAAATGGTAAAAAATTAGGGAACAGAGAAACCCTTAATGGTGTAGAAAGACTGCAGTGGGATTCATAGAGGGAAAATAGCGAGCGACTGAATAATGGGGGTTACAGGCTGATGTGGGTGGAAAACAGGAAATTGAGATGAACATGTAAACTTGTGGTGATACAAAGAGGTACAATGAGAGAAAATAAGTGGGGATTAATAGAGATGTAGAGAGATATGTAGCAGTGCAGAGAAAAAAATATGCAAACTAAAGTCCCAAGGATAATTTGTGTTGTGATTTCCTGTACTGAAAGAACTCTGCTTCAATTTCTGGTCCATTTTTTGAAGTTGGAAGTTCTGCTTATTTTGAAGACTGTATATTATTTCCATTTACTGTTCTGTTATACTGGGAGTTCAGAAACAGTTTTTAACCTCTTAACAAATTTATTATTATTTTTATATAATGCTTGCAAGTACACCAAATAAACATTTACAACCAATAACTGAAATCAAAACTCATCTAATTTTATTTATATCATGCTAAAGGAGCAGGTTTAGTTTCCTGATCAGTTGTACAAGAAAGAGGATAGTTTTCAGTACAACTTCTGAGAAAGATAATTGCTAATTTGGCTGGAAATGTAGCAGGGATTGAACCACGATAGTATCAGTTGAGAATGAGACTTATGAAAAAGAAGACAAAGCAAGTTATTGAGGTGCTTTGAAGAAATTTCATAGCGCTTAAGATAGGTGTAGCCTGCCTCAGTGATCAGAACATTCTGGAACTTGCTGAATCCTATAGACAGGCAGGGAGCCTACTGTTTGAAATTACTAAGACTTTTCCAATAAGAGTGGTATCTCAAGATAGCAGAGGCAAGATAATCACATTTAACTCTCTCTGCTACCACAAAGTGCCTCTCATGTTAAGAAAATAATTGAGGCTATTTGAGAACTCTCCCGTAGAATGGGTCACTTGAAGGCATAAAGTACCACTCCCTTGAATTTTGTGTTTTCTCTTTTGGACCTGGCAGCAGCAAGTAGGATAGAGCTTGTGAGGGGGAAAAGAACACGAGATGTGTCTTCCACAATCACTGCACAGTGCTTTCTTCCTTTCAACATTGCTTCTCAACAGCCTGTGCAGATTACAGAAGCTGCTGACCTGATCAGTGGTCTCCCCTTCCAATAAATCCGGCCATAATTAAACATGACCAGGATAAAAAGTGATGAGGTGCCACTGGTACTTGCAATTCCCTCTCACAACTGTAAGTGGAGAAATGGGACAAGATAAAGGAGGGGATGGCTGTGACAGATACTGTTTGCTGATAGGAGTGGGGAGTTGCATAGAGTTTGAATACTGGATTACATAATACGGAGCTATATGCTGTGAGAAAGAAAAATAATGTTAGAGAGTTGATCAAAATTTAAAAAGCTAAAATATTTGAGGGTAACATAAGCAGTGGATTGAATATCAGTGACCCAAGGAAAAACTCATGAAGAAGACATGGAGTAGAAATAAAGAGGAGTCAAGGAGATAGTAGAATGGGGATGAACTAGGAGGGAGCTCTGCATTTGTAGAAAGGAAACGGCCAGGTCAAGGAAATGAAGGGGTCAAAGGGATACTAATTCTAGATTCTAAAAAAGATTTTCTAAACCTGGTACTCTGCATTTTGGATGACTCTCCCAGCTGGGGATGATGAAGTTGCAGCCCAACACGTCTGAAGGACATCAGGTTGGGAAGGCTGTTCTAAAGCCTGGCATGGTAATTTTGCTGTACGTGATATTTGTCACTGTGGTATTAAAACCTGTAATTCCTGGAGGGAAACCTAGAGTCAGGAACAAGTATGTATATGTTCAGAAATTGGTCTGGTTTGAATATAACTGACAACTGTGGGGATGAGTAGGCCCACACTCATTGCTTTTAGTGTTAACTAACAACCCAGGCATTTTCTTTTTCCCATGTGAAACTGGTTCATTGACGTTGAATTAATTAAACTGGATCCCAGATATACCTACCCTGAACCTGAGGTTATCTCCAGGGGTCTTCAAAAGGAAGTGAGACAAGTAGCTACCATAATGGAGGGTAGCTCCATTCCAACACAGATTTTGGAAAGTGCTCCCCAAAGAAATTCACCTGCTTCCTACTTTGTATTGTTTTTGGCAATAGAGCAAAACCTTATTTTTCCAGCATTTTAACAATCTAACATTTAAACTTTGTTTTTATATATCCCATTTTATGTCTGTATTGTTGCTGTGCTTCTGTGCTGAATAATAGAAAATGCAATTTTGGTTTTGTTCTTTTAATTTGCATGTATGTCTTTTTAATTTTTGTTTG